TTGCCTCTTGAAAGAAAGTACCTTTGGGACATTTTTGTTGAAGATATCTGTTAAAGATACCCAGATATCTGTAGAGATATAAAAATGTCATAAAACAAACTGAATGGCAGAATCATTGCCAAAATCAATTTATCTTCATCTTATCGTTGCATCTTATCATTTCCAGCTCTAGCCAAATGAAGACCAGAAATATTTCACAGAAAATATTTCAGTACCTTCTGTCTCTGATGCATTTAATATTATTTTTCCTTTTCTTCCTCCTCCTAAAACACACGAATCATTTTAAATGAATCATTTTGGAAAATTATGTCCAGGTAGACCTAATTCTAAGTTTTTTAGTCAAGAAACAAATGAATGGAGTATATTGTAACATGAAGCATTTTGGGGATAAAATAATTAGAATTAGAATTCTTTTTATTGGCCAAGCGCGATTGGACACACAAGGAATTTGTCTTGGTGCAAATGCTCTCTGTATACATAAAAGAAAAGATACATTCGTCAAGAATCATATGAATGAATCAAGAATCAAATAAGATAAAAGAAGGCAGCTGGCATAACCAGCCCTCTGTTCTCACTTCTTGAAAATTTTGGAGAAATCAATAGCATTTGGTTTTTCACTTGGCCTAATACAAAATTTGAAATTTCATAATGATGCTTTAAGCATATAGTATTATTGCCCAATCATCATCATCATCACAAATAAATGTCTGTGGAGATTCTCAGTCATCCATGTCATCGTTATCCCAAATATGCTTTTTCAAAAGGCAATTTGAACTTTCATTGTTTTTCTTTGAAGACATTTCTCTTCTCATTCAAAAGGCCTTTTCAGTTCTGAAGCAGCTTCTGAAGTGAGGAAGCTTCTTGGAAGTAAAGTAAAACTTCTTCAAAGAAAAACAAAGAAAGTCCAATTGCCTTTTGAAAAGCACCTTTGGAGCGCCATTAATATTTTACATATGATAAAATTATGTGCATAATTTCCTTCCATCTGGGAGGGAAAATGAGTTGCCATTCAGACTATGGGCCAGTGAATAGAATAATCAGGTTTTAGTGTTAAAAGATATTTGGCTATGCGAAAGAACTTGCACAGGGAGATAATTTATATTGTTCTTTATATTACTCAGGATTCCTTAAAATTTAGATTGTATTCTAATTTTACTGCTTTTCTTTGCAGATGCTAGAATGAAAGTGAATCACCTGCAGGCAGTAATTCAAGGATACAACCTTTTGCTATATAAATCTACTGCAAGAACTAGGAAGCTGTTAAGAAAAAAAAATCAGCAATTGCCATAAGTAAGATGCAAGCCTTATTTTAATCACAGAAGCAAAATCCTATTTTTGCACATCTTTCCTATTCACTGAAGATTTCATGGTGGTAGAAATGGTTGCTACCCATCTCGTGCTATTGTAATAGACTAGTCTGTTCTCTGGATGTTAGCTTTTCACCTTCTCAGAAACAGTCCCATACCATATCACTTTCATTTTGTTATTTTCCCTCTTGAGCTTTCATGAAAGAGGTGCCCTTCTTTTCCCTACCATTCTCCCTCAAGATGTATGGTCCTAGAAGGATATGTGACTGTTTCTATTTGTGTCTTTGGGCCTTAGTAGCCAGGTCTGTATCCTCTGTACCTTGAGGCCAAAATACTCTACCCTCACCCCAGCCGATTTCCTGTATCTGTGAGTGGACCTGAGTGAGAACTCCTTGAGTCCTCAGGACATAACAGTACCAGTTGGGAGGGAAGCAGAGAAATGTAAGGGGGAAATGTAAAGGAGGAACTGGATGAGGATAAAATAGTGGAAAATCCACTGTATCTTCATTATGCTGGACATTACAGAAGGAGGCAATGGAAGTGATCTGCAAAATTATGACAAAAGAGTCCCAAATGTACTGTCACAGTTCCAAACCAAGCTAGCAAAAGAAGAAGCCACACTATGAGCAGAATGCGTCTCTTTCCTCGAGTCTCAGCTTGGCACATAGTGAACAATACATTCAAATCTTGACCAACAAATGCTCTGTCCTACACATTGGTAAAAAAAATCAGTACACCAAAAAGAAATTAGGCAGATATGACCTCGTTGATGATCCTCACTCTGTCAAGGACATTGGAGTTCTCATATCAAATGACCTAAGTGCCAGAGCTCGTTGTAACAGCATTGCCAAAAAGGCATTAAGAGTTGTAAATCTAATCTTACAAAGCTTCTCCTCCGGAATATCAAATTGCTAACTAGAGCAAAGAAAACTTTTGCCAGACCAATACTTGAATACAGCTCATTTGTCTGGAATCCACATTGCATATCAGACATTAATACAATCAAACGAGTCCAAAGGTATTTCACGAGAAGAGTACTACACTCCTCTGCTCGCAACAGAATACCCTATATCACCAGGCTTGAGATTTTGGGCTTGGACAACCTTGAACTACATCGTTTTTGGTTAGACTTAAGCATAGCACACAAATTATCTGCTACAATGACCTACCAGTCAATTACTACTTTAGCTTCAACCACAACAATACAAGAGCACACGAGCACACAATAGATACAAACTCAATGTAAACCACTCCAAACTTGATTGCAGAAAGTATGACTTCAGCAACAGAGTGGTCAATGCCTGGAATGTACTACCTGACTCTGTTGTTACATACCTCTAACTCCCACTCCTTTAACTTCAAACTATCCATTATTGACCTCACCCCATTCCTAAGAGGTCTGTAGGGGGCGTGCATAAGTGCACCATTGTGCCTACCATCCCTGTCCTATTGTCCCCATTTATTCATACCTATTTCCTGTATTCTTACTCATGTTTATACTTATAAATATTCCAAATATTCCAAATAATGGTCCTGACAGAGCTGTAGAATGTCCTCTCTCAAAGAAAGAGGAATGCATAATTAGCCGTAGCATCTCAGTTTTTGTCATTCTCTATGGTTGAAGAGCTTTCTGAAGATCACCTAGTATGTAAAGAAGTAATCTGATTTCAGGCTGTTTGTTTCTGACCTTGTCAGAAGTAGTCTGACAGGCTATGAAAATAGAGTGACATTTCTGGAATAGTTTTAGAATATCTTTAATCAACATATTATAGTCAACAATCACAAACTTCTTCATCCTCTTTCATGAAAACAGTAATTTTTGAAACTTGTATTCTTTTAAACTGAATGTTTACCTTGTTTCTTTAATTATACCTTATTTCTTTACATTAAATCATCCTAATGTATCGCTTATTGTTCTCTCCATAAAATTTACCTAAATATCATTCCTGTACTACACAATCTACAAATCAACAAACCCAATCTTTTGTAAGAATGTACTTGGTCAAAACACTAGATTTTTTTAAAAACATTTTCTTTAAACATTTCTTGAGCTGGATGGAACGGCCTTATGTGTGAACAGATGCACAAATGATGTAGTTGAGAAACAGATAAATTCCTATATTTTTCCACAATGGATCTTCTGATCAATTATCACACTCTATAGTATCATTGCAGCAATGTAATTATCAGAATGTCATAATTATGAAACACAAAAGGGCACAGCATACAAAGTCCAAAGGAAGCTTTATTAAACTCATACAGATTGCCTTTTACATTTATATTAGAAATCTAACTTTATATATATGCCTTTCCTATACTTGATTGTAAAATTTAGGATAGTTTGATTATTCGTTTCGGTTCTAACAGAATATCAAGAAACTAGATTTTAAGCAATATTAGAAATGTACACTGCACCACAATTCCTCAGGGACTCATGCTAGTCCATCAGTGGCTACCACAAATAGACTGATGTCTCATTATAATGAGGCATCAAAGTAATCCTCCAACCATGCTTTGAGTCAAATATGATAACATTTCGATGAAACAAAACATGATCAGATTTAAGATCTCTCTCTCTCTCTCTCTAAGGAAAGGAAAAAAAAAACCATAAGACATACTGGAATTTAATTTCAACAGGTAGCCCAATACCGCAAAATACATTTAAGCAGGAAGTTGCATATGACCCTCAGATTTAAATGTTTGCCTAAAATACAACATGTGAAGCAGCTCTGATCAATCCTGCAACAGCCACATTACCCCTGAAGAAATTAGTTATCAAAATTAATGATGAAAATGATTCTTTAAGAAACATATGTGTTTTGCCATATGATGTAGTAGCATATATACAGCCCATGAAATTTATTCATTATGTTAGGTTTATCATTGAGCATATAAATACAGTAACCCTTTTAGCTGTGATCTATTTTAGGGGGTAGATCCCATGATAACATAACGTAGCTGATCGTTTTATTGATTGGCCTCCTCTGTCCATTGAGTCTGGAATCATTATTCCATCAACCCTGTATCATGCATCTGTTCTCCTCATATCTCACTTCTATTGCAAATATAATGTAAGAGTAGAACAATCAAAAGCAATAAACCATTGACAAGCTGTGGTTCTGTTTTTGTTTCTGAAATCTGATATGATCTGTATGCCTTAGAAAACTTTGAAGTTTTCAAGAAAGGAGAGATCCCTGAATGCATTTTGCTTTCCATGATAATCATAACATTATGTCATAGTTATATAAATATATATATTTTGAAATAGATCAGTAATTGATAACATTACTGCAAGTGGTATCAATGACCTACATGGCCTGATTTTCTTCAGCCACTTCATTTCCATGAGCTCCATGCACAGGATGAGCTCCCATTACCTGCCCCAACTCCTGCCCACCTAGCAGTTCAAAAGCATGCAAATGCAAGTAGATTAATAGGTACCACTTTGGTGTGAAGGTAATAGCATACCATGCATCTTTGGCATACATCCATGTTGGCCACAGGACCATAGAAATTGTCTTCAGACAATGTGCGTTGGCTTCCTCACCCAAGAAACAGAGATGAACACTGCACCCTAGAGTCAAACATGACTGATAGGGAAACTTTTACCTAACAACAATACAATAGATTTCAGGCCATGCAATAAACAACAAACCATTGGTGATAAATACAGAAGTGGGGTTTTTTTTTTACCTGTTATATTGCAGTACACTAAAAGTGGGGGAAGTGGACCACTCGCATCAGAGTCAATGTGGAAGAAACCAGATGTTTTTCCTTGGTGTCGATAAGTTTCACAGGATTGCCCATAAATAGCTGAAAGGAAAAAGAAATAGTTTCTTAAGGCAAATATCAAAATAAGACTTCGGGGTTGGTGAGATAAATTATTATTCTTTCAATGTATTTATTTCATTTTAATTATTTATCAAATTTCTATCCCACCTATCATACATGTGTGATTCTATGTCTACTTCATTGCTGGTTGGCTGGATTTATTTGTGGAGCAATTACTTGCTGAGTTTAAGGTCTAGAAAATGACATTATCATAATTATTTCTTCCCCATTACTGACATTAAGACTGTAAGAAGGACATGGTAAGTGCATCATGAGTCAGCAAAATAAACTGCCTTCTGATAGAAATGTCAAAGTAAAAAAACCATGCTGTATCAACTTAAAACACTCATACACTATGTTTTCTTTAAGCAGAAACAAACTAATCTTTATTTTATAACAATGTGGATGGAAGCAAATCCTTATTTCATTCACACAGACTTTTCCTCCAATATGGAGACTTTAGTTTAGAATAATCTTGATAGAGTTAATGCAATGTTTTTCTAAACGCATTATTTTTCCCTAGATATTTTGAAAGGTAAGGGTCGTCTGATAATAAGAATACTACAGTATGTCTAATGAAAGGGCTCAGCAGTGAAGAGTTGAGCAAAGTACATAGATTATTCTAGTTCGGTAGATGGTTTGTACTTTTGTTTTTATGTACAGTTTTTCAAACAGAAATTGGTCTCCAAGTGGCCTTAAATGGGAATGGAATAACCTATGTAAACAATTCAGTGCCAAAATATTGCCCCCAATAAGGTGAGAGTGGGTTGGATAGGAACTAGAAGATTATCGCAAAAAGATTATTAGCAATTGTGTGTGCGTGAGAGAGAGAGGGAGAGGGAGAGGGGGAAAGGGAGAAAAGGACAGTTCTAAGTATTATACAATGTTCTTTGCCTAAGTGATTCCTTAATTCTATGTGCAGCCTCTTTTCTAGTTGTGAATTCCAAAGTTTGCCTAGGACCAGATTTGATCTAAGGATCTGCCTAGGACCAGATTTGATTTTCATTCCCTGGGGTGGAATATAAACTGAGTTTGAGGGATATTTTCTAAACTTAAATAGAAAGAAGATGAGACTGATTTATGTGAAAGGTGTTATGTTTTATAATAGAATAGGACATAATTCTTCATTGGCCAAGTGTGATTGGGAATTTGTCTTTGGTGCATATGCTCTCATTGTACAAAAAGAAAAAATAAAATACATTAATCAAGAATCATAAGATACAAACACTTAGTAATAGTCATAGGTTACTAATAAGCAATCAAATCATACTAGGAGACAAATAAAACAATATAAATTGTAAAGATACAAGCAAAATGATTATAGTCATAAGTGGAAAGAGATAGGTACTAGGAAGGATGAGAAAAATAATAGTAAAATAGTCTTAATAAATAGTTTGACAGTGTTGTGGGAATTAGTTGTTTAGCAGAGTTGGTGGCATTCGGGAAAAATGTGAGGGGTCTGTAGATATTTTCACAGCACTCTTTTTGACTCATGCAGTACACAGGTCCTCAATGGAAGGCAGATTGGTAGCAATTGTTTTTTTTCTGCAGTTCTAATTATCCATAGAAATCTGTGTCTGTCTTGTTTGGTTGCAGAGCTAACCCAGGCAATTATAGAGGTGCAGATGACAGTAATTTTCTTCTGACATATGACAACAAAGTTAAGTTCTGGTTTTGTTGCCCTTGTGTACGGCAGAATGAAACTCTCATTTTCCAACTCTTCCTCTGAAACTTCCTACTGAGTAAGATTGGACTATTTCTAAAATTAAACATAATGGATTCAGACTTTTCTGAAGTTCAGTATTCAGAAAGAAAACCAAGCAAATTCTGCATAATCAAAATATATACAACGCTCAGAAGAAAACTTTTAGAAGAGAATATTTATTATTGTATAAACATTCATTTTAGTTCATTAGTTATAACAGCTTGCTTAATGTTGTTGGCTTTGCTTTTGCTTTGCTTTCCTTTGTTTTTCTTTAGCTGTTGAGATGCCTACACAGTTACATGAAAGTTAATTGATAGGATTTTTTGTCTCCATAGGAGGCAAGAACATTTTGAAAATATTTTGCAAGTGTTCAAGAAAGCATAGAAGTTTATTCCTTGTAATAAATGAGTAAATGTTACAGGTGCTAGAGATAAAATATAAAAATGAGATGAAAACAAGAATCATTATTATACAATGTAAAATCTGTAGTTGTGTTGCCCTGAAATCATCTACACACAGAAAATGTTTTGTAGAAAAGCAGGGCTAACAAAAGGACAATGTGTGGGACAACTTTTGATTTTTTTATTTTTTATTTAATGTTACTTTTCTTTAATAGCTTACTGAAATGAATGGTTATTTTTTTCATATCTGTGGATAAGCCTAAATGATACAATCATCATGAGACGTGGTAGTGCAGTGGTTAGAGTGCAGTACTTCACGCTACTTCTGCTGACTGCCAGCTGCCTGCAATTTGGCGGATCAAATCCCACCAGGCTCAAGGTTGACTTAGCCTTCCATCCTTCTGAGGTCAGTAAAAGGAGGATCCAGATTGTTGGGGGCAATAGGCTGACTCTGTAAACTGCTCAGAGAAGGCTGTAAAGCACTGTAAAGCAGTATATAAGTCTAACTGCTGTTGCTATTACTATTTTAATAAATATTAGTAATAAACAGTTCTGATTTTTCATAAAATGATTATTGTAACATTTTAATACTTTCCTATATGCTGGTATTTTGAATTTGGTCTAAGAAAGAAAATGATTCTTATTTCTTCCAATAGTTTATCCAGCATGTGTATCTGCTGGTAAAACGGGATTCTCAAGCATTGTGTGGATTACTTTTCTTTAAACCTTTCTGAGTGCAATAATTTGAATTATTAGTTGACAATTCATGCTGGGTGATTCAGCTTTGGCTGACTTATATGTACTGCTATCATAAATAACCCAGGTTATTCTAAAAATAGTGAAAAGTATTTTTTTTCCAAATGCTAAATTATTTATCTATTGCCTAGGGAATACAAAACCATTCCAAGGTATCCATCAGATACTCTGGAAACATACTGTGCAAATCAGAAATTCAAAGAGACTTACTAATATTAAAGACAGACCGTTAACAGGCCTCTGAAAAGTGACTTATATTTGTTTCAATTAAGCAGTTTGTCTTGTAGAGACAACAGAATATGCTTCAATAAATACTTTGGACAGTCTCAAACTGCTTTGGACCAGTGCTTCAGACATCTCTTTTCTCTCCCTCCAAATATTGGTTTAAGATCTTCTATACTTAGATGGCTAGGGAATTGCCCATACCAGGAGCTGGGCCTACTCAGCCTGGAAGAGCTTTTGTGCATGAGGCAAGCATAGTACATGGATCATTAAAACTTTTGAAAGTGGTCTAAAGGATATTCCAGAGAATTGGGTTAGATATATACAGCAATGTTTGCTGTAGTCACCAAATCTGGAAATTCTTTATTGCATGTCAAGGATGCTCCAGACAAGCCACATTGCTATAGTGGCATATTATAGAAGTGTATGGGCTACCACTACATGAGGAGATATCTTTCTGCCTGTTCCCTTATCACAAGCTCTATGGGAAAAGGCCAATGGTCACTTCAATTTTACAAGTGAGGGGAACACTGCAGTTTTGAAGGAGTGCATCATTGCTTCCTTTGAAGCTTTGCATGTTACAGAAACTCCACAGATCTCTTAATACTTCATACATTATGCATAAGACACAGGGAATTGCCTGAGTCTTATCTCTGATCCAACTATTTCACAATGTGAATGTGTGGTCTTCTGGTAATGTTCTCCAAGCATTTCCCAACATTATATGCAGAGGTGCTATTCAGCAGGTTCTGACCAGTTCTGGAGAATGAGTACTGGAAATTTTGAGTAGTTCAGAGAACTGGCAAATACCACCTCTGACTGGAGATTTTACTGTACCCTTCCCCTGCCACACCCACCAAGCCATGCCCACAGAACCGATAGTACAATTTTTTGAATCCCACCGCTGATTATATGGAAATGTCAAAGATTGAAATAAGTATATTTTTCACATAAAATAGGTGCTGTACTATAAGAACAAAGGGAGTATATCAGGCCAACAATGGTTGTAAAATCACTGTAATGACATTTTTCACCTATACACAGAATGTACTAATTTCCTAAAATTACATTTCTAAGTTGATATTTTACTAATCATGAATGTTACACTTTGCTTTAAAGAAAATACAGAAAAGTAAAAGAATGGAATTAATACCATATATTGGGTTGGATGTCTGCTATTTCTAGAAACTGCTCTCTGCTACCAGCTTTTAATGATCTTTTCAAGTCCATTTTAGTTGGCGCAATCATGTATTCTGAACAAACAAAAAGATGTGAATTCCCATTCATTAATAATGAAGGAGAATTGTTTATAGAGTATTTGTGCAAACAAAAGGGATTATTAGACACAAACTAATAAAAGAAAATGCATATTCTAAAAAGTAAGGATACCATTATAGTAGGCTTAAATGACATAGCACATTCCCAGAGTATATATAATTGGTTTCAAGGAGAAGAGAGAGAGGTGTGGACACATATACTGTATGTGGGTGGATGTGTGCGTATGTACGTACATACGTACATATATATGTATGCATTATGTATACATATAGTACACACACACGTTTTATATTGAGAGTATAATAGGCATCCTTTCTCTAATTTCAGTTGCTTCTCCTTCCTTAATTAATTTTCTGGCACTATGGAACATGATATTCTCTAAGTTCTGTATGTGGAGCTACAAGTAATATACACGTACATTTCACATACTGTATTCCAAATTATTGGAAAAGAGTTCATGGCACTGTTCTCGCATTACAATAACTCAGTGTGTACAGTATATACACCAGGTTAAAAATTGCCAGGTTTAAAAAAAAAACTGTCCCTGTAGAAAGCCAATTCAAATGGATTTGCACTTAAATGTAATAACATACTGTGTGTACAATACCACATTTTTTTTC